AACTTGTGCTTCCATTTCTATCAGAAAAAAGTTAATATAAGGTTGCAACCTTCAATTGTAGAATTAAGGTTGCATCTCAAAAATCCATGAAAAAATGTTGTTTTAATGTTAAAAGGCCCTCTAGTTGATGATCTCGACATCGAGATGTGTGAATATAAAAAAGGTTTTGAATTCCAAAAATAGTGAACTTGTAACATGTTATCTAAACCATCCATTTTCAATATTTTCATGTTCATAGATCTACTTGATTTGAATTATTTTTGGAGTTTAAGATTTTATAATCAGAATTGGAAATAGATTTTCAGACCATCTTAATAATTTTTTACGCCAAACTTACATCTTATGATAAAATTTGGAGGTGTACCTTAACTGGAATGTTTAAAGTTACAACCTTACAAACCACGTATTAACCTAAGACTAACATTTGACTTGAGCTCCTTTTGCAACTAACCTAACCCTAGACCAGAGATTGAGCAAATCAAAGCGACATACACATGTTTGTATACACATAAGTGTCATCGAAAAAAGACACTGATATGCAATTTTAGATATTTTTTTTAAAGTGTCAAACATGAAAGTTGTGCCATTCAAAAATATTAACAAGACTATTCAAGTTATTGGGTAGAAGAGCAAGAGACTGAGAGAAAGAGAATAGACAAAGAAGAACAAAGTGTGAGAATTATGAACCCCCCTTCATTAACTTGGACATGACCACCTCAAAATACTCAACTGTACATGGTACCTTTAGTGCACCTTCCTGTTCATAGCCATACTCATGTGCAGCCATCTCAAGCAAATCCACCATTAATGGATGGTTCAAGAGCTTGGCAGGTATGAGGAATCTCTCTCTCTTCTCCTTTCCCACCATCAGTGGCACCAAACCCTTGCCACCCTCATCTTCTCTCTGATCATCATCTGCTTTTAACCTGGTGTACTCTTTCTTGGTCAGAAGAGGCCACAGAGACTTCTTAGCCATTGTCGTTAAGCTGTAAGCTCCAAATCTCAGGGCTCCTACTCCTCTTCCGTGTCATTCTTATAGTGAGGGATGGAGATATTGTTGACAAGAATAAAGTAGAGAGAGAGAGAGAGAAGAGGGTGGGGGTTGAATGAGATGGGGGAAAATAATGCATTATTGAAGTAGAGAGCGATGGACCAAAACAAGGAGAGAGAGAAAGAAAGCAAGCATGAAAAAGGAAAGAGAGAATACATGATAAAGAGAGATACATGGTCTGAAAGAGTCTTTGAGTGGTAGAGAGATGATTCAGAAATCCAAAGAATTAAAATATCTGTATTAACTGCTAAATGATTATATGCTCTTGTCGGTACATGTTCCTCCAGTAAAACTCTATGGTACCGTTGGTGTATGTTCCTTGAGAAGAAACCTTTGCTCTAGTTTATGACCGTTAGACTAGTCAAGTATTTTAATTGATTTTCGATTAAATTAAGTTGCTGTTTTGTATTGGACCGGCTAAAGTACCGGTCGGCAGTCCGACTAGTGTGTTTTTTACTAGCCTAAAAATATAATATCCAGTGATTTGAAAAATGCTAGGTTGGCAAAGAATCCTCAGTCGGACCTGAGAACCGGTCACCCCATTTCAGTTATGTGTATATATCAGTGTTTTAAAAAACGCCGAGTCGAACCGGACTCGCCCGGTTCGACTCGAAAATCGTGAAAAGGGAATCGGGTCCCCTAAAAAATCGAAAATCGTCCGGTTCTAGAGAGAGTCGGACGATTCTGTACAGTGAATCGCCGATTCACTGTACGGAATCAACGAGTCCGAACAGTGAATTGGCGAGTCCGTACGGATTTTTTTTTTTTTTGTTTGTAATCCATGATAGATTTTTTTGTAATACTTGATCGATTTTTTTGTAATCCATGATCGAATTGTTTTTGTTTTTTGTAATCCATGATCGAATTTTTTGGTTTTTGTAACCCATAATAGAATTTTTTGTAATCCATGATCGAAATGTTTGCTTTCTTTTTTTGTAATGCATGATCGATTTTTTTGTTTTTGTTTTTTTATTTGTAACCCATGATAGAATTTTTTGTAATCCATGATCGAATGTTTTGTAATACATGATCGAAATGTTTGTTTTTTTTTGTAATCCATGATCGAAATGTTTGTTTTTTTTTTGTAATCCATGATTGAATTTTTTGTTTTTTGCTTTTTTTGTAACCCATGATACAGTTTTTTGTAATCCATGATCGAACTGTTTTTTTCTTTTTTGTAATCCACGATTGAA